GTAGTTTGAAATTTGTTACAAGAGGACTAGAGTATAAGAGTAAAGAAAAGTTTCTATCAACAGATTAGGCATAGAGTGGCCTTGTCTGGATCAGTGGAGTAAGCTTTCATCTCCTTAGCTAAGGAAGTACATGTTTCCCCTTGAGGGAGTGTGGCAAAGGTTCACTAGGCTGGTTCCTACAATGAGGGGACTGTATCTATAGAAGAGATTAAGTAGAAAAGACCTTCATTCCCTGGAGTTTACAAAAGACGGGGTGATCTAATCACAACATCTAAAATTCCCAGATTCTCCAGGGTAGATGGTGAGAAAATGCTTTCCCTGGCTTGGGAATCCAGAACTCAAGATCACAATCTCAGAAAAAAAAGAGGTTAGATGAGGGTGAGAAGGTATTACTTCACTTAAGGGATTGTGAATACTAGGTATTCTTTACCACTGAAAGCTGTAGATGTTCAGTCATCAAATAAATTCAAGATAGAGACTGATGGATTTTGGGTGCTTGGGGAATTAAAGGATTTGGCGAACAGCATAGGGATGTAGAGATGGGCAAGAGGATCAGTCTGATTTTTGTTGACTGGGGAACCGGACTCAAAAGGGCCAAATTTTATATTCCAGCTCCTGCTATGTATTTTTTTTTATGAAAAGATGCTTTTGGTTATAGAGCATTTCATCATGACAAAAGGGATAATTTTCAACTGCAATACCTAGATGCTAAACTGGTAGAGCTGAAGCGTAGTCCATTGGAGAACAGCCCCATCCCATTACACTGTGAAACATGAAATAAAAATCGAGACACGTTCAACAATGAGCAGATGATTCAACCCTACAAGGTTATCACCTGATCAATAATGCTGAAAGTTACCCTCCTATTTCTTCACAATTCTGTTCTTGCTCCATTCTTCAGTGTTAATAAATGGTGCTTTTCCTTTTTACAGTTGCAGACTGATCTCTTGTGTATTTCCAACTTTTTCCCTGTTTTTGTCAAGAAAGCTGTATACTGCTGGGTCAACTACTTAGCATATGCCAAGTGTAGAAAATGGGAAAGAAAATAAAACTAGACGTTTTCGCATACTTTGAAATGTAGTGTAAGGTTTCTCTGACATGCCAATCTTTACAAGTAAGGTTTCAAAGTAGTTTTCCAAATAATACGCTACACAACTACGATATTTTAATCATTTATTCCATGAAAGCAACTTAAAGTTGACTGTGGAATAGATTATTAAAATATCATAGTTTTGTAGCATACTATTTGGAAAACTACTTTGAAACCTTACTTGTAAACATCATTTATTTGCAGTAGGCCCAAATGACCAAATAGACTACGCTGCTCCAACTTCTTACAATAGAAACCTCTGCAGCAATGAATTAATCAATACGAGGGATTTGATTATGCAGTTTGGCAATGCCTCATAGTCAGACACTGACATACATCCTGTCAAACAGACCCATTAAGCAAAGTGAGTGTTTTGAAAACAAGGACAAACATCTCTAAAGGCTTGTTTTAAAACACAAGAACAAATAAATGCAAATTTGATTTTGAAAATCAAATCCAACACGGTAAAGCTGTTTTGTTTTCTCTTCAGGCCCGGCATTCAACTATGTGACTATGAGTGCATAATAAGACTGAACCAGAAAAAAATGTTTGTCATAGATTAATATGTAAAATATTGATTTTAAGGGTTGCACCTTCCTAGGTACTAATCAAGTCAATTTTACAGAGAAACTTAACAGTTTGTACATTACTTCTAAACTATTTTTACAAGCTTTCCAAATAATGATGATTTATAAGCAAACCAAAAGAACAGCAGATGCTGGAAGTCTCAAACAAAAACAGAAATTGCTGGGGAAACTCAGCAGATCTGGCAGCATCTGTGGAGAGAAAGCAGACTTAATGCTTCAGGTCGAATGACTGACTGAAGAAGGGTCACTGGACCCAAAATGTTAATTCTGTGTTCTCTCCACAAAAGCTGCTGGACCTGGAGAATTTCTCCAGCAATTTCTTTTTTTCTTTTGTTAATCATTTACAAAGTGACCTGCTGACTTTCTTTTTTGGACTTGGCCCCAAACAAATGTCATGTGTCCTGTGGCATTTTAAGATCAGCTGAAGCATGTATTTATCCTAATATAGCCTGTTTAATTTCTCAAGCTAGTTGGTATTAAAAACAAGATATATATTTGTACTTATAAAACACTTAATTCAATTAATTATCTCTACACACTTAATAGGAGCATTATCAAACAAACTTTGACATTAAGGCAGATAATGATATAAGGGTGGATAACCAAAGGTTTCCTCAAAAAGACTGAGAGTCCTTGCAGAGGAAAATTGTAAAACTTTGTGCATTAACAGCTGAAAGAATCTGAAGATTGCAGATATCTTGGAGGGTGTGGAGGCTGGAGGCAATGATAGGGAAACGGAAGACCAAGGAGCCAGTGCTAGTTAGTGAGCACAGGATGATGGATGAACAGGACATGGTGGGAGTAAGGGTGCAGGCAGCAAGGTTTTGAATGTGATGTCTAGAGATAACAAAGCATTTACGAGTGACCTGCTGATAATAGTTCAGCAGGAGGTAACGTAACATAGAGATATGGATAGATGATTGGGAGGCAAGATAGGTTTCAGTTAAGCAGTTCTCACGTTCATATAACACCAATATTGCAAATGAAGCAGTTCGGCTTTCAACCCTTTCCAAAAAAGGGAAGAGATTAATAGCTAGGGAATGGAATTTGCAGTGGGGACTGAAGGCAAGGCTTTGAATTTCCCGATATATAAGTGGAGAAAATTTCTGCTAAGTATTGGACAAGAAATCAAGTTTAAAGTTATGGCGGAGTTGAGAAAAGTGGTGATTGTTAGAGTTGGATGTTATCAGTGCACATGTGAAAAATAACACTTTTCTTGAATGTTGTTGCCAAGGAGCAGAAGTAGGAGAATACAAAGTTAGATCCTGGGACATGTCACAACAAACAGTGTAGAATCTGGAAGGGACAATACTGTAGGCTTCAATTCATTGTATTCTTGGTTATTTAATTATAGCCATTTAGACCAGTACAAGCCCAACCAACTGTGGGGGCACGTCGGAAAAGATGCTGTTGACAGGTCGAGGAGGAATACTTTAATACTGTCACAATTACAAAGAATGTAACCTGTGATTTTGATCAGAGATGCTTTGGAACAGTGGCAGGACTGGAAATTTGATTGGTAGGTTTCAAATATAGAGATTTGGGAAAGAGAGACACAAAATTAGAAGGGGCCAACATATTCAAGATCGATGGAGAAGAAAGGCAGTTTGAAAATGCAGCAGCAGTTTGGAAGGATAATAAGATCAAGGATATTTTTTGAGTCGAGACATATGATGACTGATTTGTCGAAGAGCAAGACTGTGTGTACCTGGACAGAGAGAACTGTTTCATCAATTTATGCGGGAACCATAGGGAGAGACTGCTTAGCTGAATAATGGCAGTTGGGTCAAGGGAGACGACGTGGGTCCAATGGAACAAATTAGCTCAGAAAGCATGAAGGGAGGAGGGTATGACAGTAACTTGAGAATAATGCATGTTCAGGATAGGTTGTAAGAGATCGTTAGTGGAAGTTTAGACTGGTGGGTTAGAGAGAGGAAAGAAAGTAGCAGACATCACTGATAGCATAGTCCCAATTTTGGTGACAAGGAAATAACGAGACAGACGCACTTCTGGTTGGAGGGGAGGATGGTGGAGGAAATGGTCAGTTTTAAGATGTCTGTGTGCAGGACAGAAAAGAGACTTAGGGTTATCTGACTATTCCAGGTTCATCTGGAAGAGAAGTTTTGACTGGCAACAGAACCCATGATTGACTAGTAACAATTAAAATGAATAATAATTTCAGAAAGCTGAAAACAAATTCCCTAGTTTTTTTAAAGATAAGCAGGCGATCTGCTTCCCCATCACAACGTTGATATGGATTTTACCAGAATGTGGGATCGGATATATACTGCAATTCAAGACTGATTTCCAGAATGTTTAAATTCATGTCCTCTGTGGAATTTTGCTTTAGATACAAAATAGCTTTGAATCATATTATTTTGGAAGTGACTGTGATGGACCCCAATTTGAAGAAGTTCTAAACCAAAATAATGAATTAGTGAATGCCCATTTACAATACTTCTGTGATTTCAAATCGTTTTGTTTCCAGGAAACTTTGTTTCAAATGAAACAGTCAGTTAGTTCTATTTCAATTTAGCAAAAGCACCATTATAATAATGCTTGAGAACAAACCAGCTAAAATGTGGACCGGGGTGGTGGTGCTAGGGAATGGAGATTCTAACAGTTCTATAACTTCTCAGCTGTGGAGGATAATTTCCACATATCCCTTTGCTACTGCGGGAGAAGAATCTCTCTGCAGCAACTGGCTGGGTGAGTGGAGGGGGAAGCAGTCTCTCTCCCCCCACCTCCCCTTTCCCTGTGACCCCTCATTGGGACTTGTGGGGGGAGGAGGGGAAGGCAGTTTAAAGTTTTCGCAAAAAAAAAGTCAGTCTGTCCCTATTGCCCCTCACTACTGCTTGATAGAAGGCACACAATCTGTTTGCATAGCCTCTAACTAGGACCTACCTCCCTATAATCTTCCTCTACCCACAAAGTCTAGTTGGCATTGCCTTGCCCCACAGCCTTTACTGAAGGGTATTTTTCTCCATAAAGACCCTGATTTGGCATCATGGGTGTGTAAATCGTGGGGGTGGGGGGTGGTTCTTTCCATAGCACCTTATGGAGGTGGTGGGTGGGTGGTGGGAATATTAGTGAGTCTCTACCCACAAACATTCTCCCTTCTGTAGTTCTCTTTCTCGTCCTATTGGTCTCGGGGCTTGAGCGAAAGGGGATAGCATCTTACAGCAGTACCCTCCCCTGAAGACCCCCGCTGCCCTCACATACCACTGGGGGAGATGCCAAGTCAAGGCCACTCGGCCCGCTGCCCACAGTGTGAGCCCAATGGCCCGGCTTCTTAAGCACAGCCCCACCCCCAATCCGTGTACCTTGGACTCCCTCTGGCTCAGGGTTGAAACCGGGGAGATGGACGTCTCTCCGCCGAGCCGCTCGTTTTCTTTCTCCGTGTCCTCAGCACCGGGGCTGCTCCCGGTCTCCTCCGCCGGTACTTCCCAGTTTGGCATCTTGCACTCTTCCCGGTGTCCAGCTCAGGGCATTCCCGGCAGCGGGCACGGATCTGGGGAAGGGGGGGTGAACCGGCCCGGGACGGGACAGGCGCCTGCTGAATGAATGAATGAATGAATAAACGGCGCTGGGCTCCTTGGTCCCCGTTTATTCCGCACCGATGGCTACAACTCCCAACTCTCTGGAGTTTATTTCCCTCGGTGTCTCACTCACCCTCCGGCTTCTCACGTATTTCCGAGTGCGTGATCGATAAAAGCTGCCGAGGGAGAGGCTTTCAGTCCGGAGAGAGAGAGAGAGAGAGGAGCCCCTGGCCGGGGGAGAGGGATAGCAGCTCCCTCCCTCCCTACCCTCTCAGTGATGAGGCTGGGGAAACTTTCCAGCCCCCTCCCCTCCCCGCTGCTGCTACACCCCCCACCCCCAGCACAGCACTTGTAGCTACCCTGGCTCTTTCTGATCTAAAATCTCCCTCTGAATCCCGGCTTCTGGTGCTGTTTGCAGTCTGCAGCCTCTTGCATGCCAGCACCGTGTAAAATGTTGCTCAGCACACTCCCGCCCGCTCTGACAACTGGTTTAACTTTTATGATTTGCTAATGCGCAAAAAAAAGACAAGGATGTTCCCTAGATGGCTATGTTCCCTGCCATCCACTGTGGTAAGTGAGCCTTCTACCCAACTACAACTTGCAACTCAAAAGGAGGCATTTAAACAGCAGGTTTTAAGTTTTGTAAAAAAAAACTTTCTGCCTGACAACATCTTTGCAACAAATTGATGCTTAATGTAACCACTTCTTTCATTCCTGTCTTCTGCAACAGGACCTACACTCGCAGCTTAAACTGTCTCTTCTTTCCAGGATCATGTTCATTTACGTTTGAGTTTTGCTCTGACTGTTTAGGTCTTTCAAAAGAAGGATTTTTTTTATTGGATTCGGCGTTTACTGAAATTTCAGGTCATTTACAAACCAGGCTCAAGTGGTAAACAAGTCAGAATTGTATCTGTTCGCACTCTGGCAAGATTATAATTCGCTAGAGTCATGTTACTGTAATTACACATTTAATATCACTCTCAATTGTTCCTTGGTGAAATACAAGTCAGAAATTTACTAAGTAACACAGGCATTAATCCTCTGCAGATTACGGAACAATTTGTACCACTTCATGATCAACCTAAACCGAGCAACATTCTCGTATTAAGGCTCCCCGTTGAGTTTGATGGCGATCGTGAAATTGCTGGGTTTACAACATGAGAGTTTATCTCTGCGGCAGGTATTTAAGGCTGGGAATTAACATCGTCTTGAAGCCTGATAATGCCATCAATTATGGAGCTGAAATCACGGTCAGACTTGGAGGCACGTAAAGTAATCACAGAAGCTGAACTCTAGCAGGTCCAAAAAATTGTTACTGAAAGCATTTTAATTTTAAACAACAATTTTGATCATCTTTTGCGCCAGCTGCCATCCACAGCTCTGAAGATAATGGGCAAAATTTACTCAGCGTCTGAATGGCGTGGGCAATGGCGAGATGAAATAATGAAATTCTTAACGGCGAGGGAAGCAAAGTCCGCTTTCCACTTTAAGGTTTCAACCCCGAGACCAGAATCTCTCTGGTGAGGGCCCTATTTGAAATAAAAGATCAAGCTCCAGCTGCCTCCAAAGTTTTTAACTCTGTTTCCCTCTCCACGTGATGCTGCCAGACCCGCTGAGTCCCTTCATCACTTTCTGTTTTTATTTCAGATTTTCAGCATCCACAGTATCTTGGTTTTATCTGAAGGCCCCAATGGCAAGTATTGACATCTCAAAATCTTGCCTGGTGTATATGCAGGTTGTAGCTCCCAGCTGGTGGTAAGAAATTAGACAGTGCCAATTCCTGACATAAAAGTCAGAGTGGGTACCCAATGCTGCAGATCGCGGGTGTTTTCTCTGGCCGTTCATGTTGGCCACAATCTCCGAGCACCCTCCATGGGCAGTACCTGCCTTCACCCTCTGTCGATGGATGTTGGCATTGACAAAGCACCAGCCTCGCCACATCATCATGGCATGTCTTGGACTAATTTTTAATACAGTTCACTATATCATTATTGCATCTCACCCATTGGAAGAGAGTGCAGCATGAACCTCTTGATTTCTTTGTTCTCACTCACTTTGTGCTTCCTTGGACACTCACAGTTTCTGTGTCTTGCCTTTTCGCGCTTTGCTACTTCATTCAGAGTTTACAGGCTCCAGTAGTTCTACCTTGTTATTACAGACAAAGCCAGGCAACTTGTTATGGTGCCAACTCTGAAGAGTCAACAACATGGATGTATTGCTGTGCAGCACTGTGCTACATCCATGTCACACTCACACCATGTGCGATGGGGTTAGTAGGAACTGTCGATGCTGGAGAATCTGAGATAACAATGTGTAGAGCTGGATGAACACAGCAGGCCAAGCAGAAAATTTTCTGAAGAGGGTTCAGACCTGAAATGTCAGCTTTCCTGCTCCTCTGATGCTGCTTGGCCTGCTGTGTTCATCCAGCTCTGCACCTTGTTACATCACACCATGTGCAAGTTGCTTATGTGGCAAAGACACCACATGAGCTTCAACCAAATGGCCACATCTGAATGTCTAAGGGGAGTAGCCCTTAATTCAGTCAAGGGGACTATGGTTAGTTAGGGGATCTCACAACAGTCAGTCTAGGGCATTGTCTGGTTTCTGGCTAAGGAGCTGACCATGGTTAATTGGGTATTTGGTGCAATCAAGGGTCATATCCTCACATCTGGAGCTTGATCCATGGTCATTCCTGCAGGTTGAGTCTAACCAGATTGGGACTACTGGTTAGTCAGTTGGGGAGCTTTGCAGAAATCAGTTGAGGATTGATCTACTCTCAGTGGGCCCTCTTAAGTCAGTGTGGGAGAATGGGCCACAATCAGTCAGCCCGGGTGTTTGGGCATGAAACATCAAGTGGCGTTATCTGGTGATGATGTGGTGGGGAATTTGGAGAGTGGGGATTGGAACCAACATGCCTGGATGCAGAGGGGACAATCACTGTAGAGAGGGACAACTCAAGATATAAAGACGGATGCCAATGTAGCATGAGAGAGCAAGGAGCACATTGAATGGTCACCAGCACCATGGTTTCAATGGGGCAACAATGGATAATGATATTGAGCACAGCTATGTGGTAAGTATAGGACTTGTGTACATTAGGAGATGAATAGTAAAATAAAATGGTTGTATGGGACCAAGGGGAGGCTCAAACCTGATAGTGTTAATAAAAAAGCAAAATAGAGCATGAAGGTTGTTGGGGGCAGAATGTGGAGCCAATAACTCTCTCTTGAGCAATCTGGAAAGCATTCCATCTTCAAACGAATCTCGACTGTGCAATAAACATGAAAAATATTTGCCAGTACACCCAGAGTGTGTGGAATACATTTGATTTCTGCCTGTGTGGTGTTGGGCTCCATTTGTGCGGCAATGTGAGGACCTTCAAGGGTGAATGTGATATTCAGGGACTCTTTCCATACAATTAAAACTCACCATAGCCCCATTAGAGAGACAGATGACTAACAGTAAGTTTAACCTGAGGATCACTGCAGCTCAGGCAAGGAGTGAGGTTGAGAAGGCGTGCTAACCTCGGCTGGTACAGGAATTGAACCCATATTGTTGGTGTTATGCTGCATCATAAATCAGCCATCCAGTCAATTGAGCCAACCGCACGAGGTCACAGCAAAAGATCCCCTCAGGTGGTTCTGGAAGGTAAGAGTTTAAGGAGATCACTGTTATTTCCTCCAGGTGAGCAAAGGGCAGTATTGCCGCTGAATGGGAATGTCCCAGGACACTGAATTAAACCATTTGTTATCTGGAGCCGGACTTGTGGTCCGAGGGAGTGAGTGACTGTGGTTTGGTTACATCTTATATGACTGGCTGCTTCAGAGGACACCCAGAGACCTGAGTGCGATCTCATAATCCTCAACCCACAAATATATTAAGGTCAATCAGCCATGATTGTGAAGAATGGCGGAGCAGGCTCGAAGGGCTGAATGGCCTCCTCCTATCTTCTATGTTTCTATGTTAATGATGCAATTTGTGCCAAATCTCTTGTTTCATCACATTTTCCTGGGATGAGGTCAGTGCTACAGCATGAGCTTGCAGGCTTTCCCAAAGTAACTGGCTTCCCTCAGGTACCCAGTGCTATAGACTGTTGCGTTGCATATCGTAATGTAGCTGACTTCCTTAATAGGAAAGGATTGAATTTGATCAACGTATGAGTCATCTGTGATCATCACTACCGTGTCTTAGAAGTCTGTGTCAGGTACCCTGGAAGCAGCCATCATGTCTGTTACCTTGATAATTCTTAGGCTCCCACTCCATTCCAAGGGCCAGATGCCACATGAAGATGGCTGTTGGTTGATACAAACTCCTCTCTCCAAACAAGACTGCTAAAAATGTTGTGCAACTCCGTGCCTGAGGCCAAGCATTCGATACAAAACAGCCCATGATTCCACCAGGGTCATCATGAAACAGACAATGTTCTCAAGATCAAAAACAGAAGATGCTGGAAAAGCTCAGCAGGTCTGGCAGTTTCAGTAAAGAGAAATCAGAGTTAGCGTTTTGGGTCTGGTGACCCTTCCTCAGCATAGTTCTGTGGAAGAGTCACTGGACCCGAAATGTTAACTCTGATTTTTTTCTTCACAGATGCTGCCAGACCTGCTGAGCTTTTCCAGCAACTTCTGTTTTTGTTCCTGATTCACAGCATCCGCAGTTTTTTGGCCTCCTCAAGTTGAGGTTCTGATGCTTAGATTGATTTGGAGATGTCCCAAGTGAGTGAGTAGGAAATACAGAGGGCAGAAAAGGTGAGTAGATTTGAGAGAATGGGGTGGTTGAGAGCCTTTGAAGGAAGATGCTACTTGCAGGATTGTGAGTTGTAGGTGAGAAGTAGGTGCACTAGCAGAGTGAGTGAGTACAAGGTAGCAAAAAGAAGAAGATAGCACATTGCCTTGTGGATCACAGAAGGTCATTGCTGCACATTTCTTCAGATGGTGGCTGCTTTGGACAAGGCTGGTAGTGTCTGGTGGTTTGGAGAAAGAGGACAGATTTCCCCTCCATCTCCCCATCCAGGCAGGTCCACTGGGTCCCTATTGATGAAGTGAGGTGCTAACTTGCCTCTATTAGCCATGCTCTGAATTGCATAGCAACACACTAAGGTTATTTTCTGGCTTGCAGGAAATAGTGTGCAGCTGGGTTTAAAATATGGTGCCCATTGGCATGAATACCAGAATTCC